AAAAGTCTTGGGGAACATGATGGGAAAATGTCAGGAAATAAACATTGTTCCCCAACTCCCACGGCAAGTAAGGGCTCAAGATATCAGCTTGACTTTTTTTTTTTCCCCCTGACTAAGCATGCTGTCTGTCAAATTGACCAATGAACTTTTTAGGTGTGCCAAAAAAAAATGGTTAAAGCCTCTACATGTACTTCCATAAATTCTTGGAGTGTAACACTCCATGTGTCGTACACGCCATGGACCTTTGGTGCGATTCAGAAGAATACCACACAGATTGCATTTACAATTTAACTGAACTTTCCCACATCATTTTTCCATGTCTCCGATTATCTGGATGAATAAGCCAAGTTCTGCTTTCCTGTGGTGATTTTTGGTCCCTTCCCGGTTTTTTTCCCCCAATTTCCCGAGCCGCACGGCTGCAGACAGACCCCTTCTGCTCTCCGAGCTAATGGGCTTAACAGGTTCGCAGTGTAGCGTGCCGCCCGGCAATCTGAGCCCACTCGTATCCGCTTCTTACTCCATATGCTCGACTGCCGTCTCCGCTTCATGATCTTGTTTTTCAATTTACGTGTTGCGCTTTGATGGCGAGCGCCTCGTCGTTCAAGCCAACGTCCAGTAATGCGCGCACACAGGCAAAACGTGTGCTCTCTCTCTCTTCAAGGCTTTATTGAATCGGACTCTTTCGACTGGTGTCGGGAGCAAACCTAATTCATTAACGTCGTCGGAACCACCCAGGGCAGACACTTGTAGATCTTCTCGAGACCCGCTTTGTCGTGACCCTCCCCCATTTCCTGCATCCCTCTGCTCTGCCCCCTTCACTCCCATAAACGCCAACCCTACCCTACTTGCATATTTATGCCCTTGTCAAGTTCCAGGGATCCAGGAGCAATACAAGCAGTAATCCAAATATTTTGGCTGTCTTTTTTTTTTTTTTGGGGTCTTAAATTCACATACAAGAGGTCTGTTAGGCCCCTTTTTACACTGCTTTGTACCTAATTGAATTTAATTCAGAATACTTTACGATCAACAAATGCATAAGGTAATGTTTCTAGTACCGGGTCATTCAATCTGGTCCCGTGGTTAAAAAAAAAAAAAAAAAAAAAAAAAAGGAAGCAGCTAGTCATTGGAAAAGCAGATATGTATGTCTTGATGAGGATGTGTGGGTTCAAAGTTCTTAGGTTCTGTTTGAGCAGATTGCGTTGGAGGGCATCAACGTCTAGACGGACTTTGATTGAAGAGGACGGTGAACAGATCATGTTCGAGCAGATGTGTTCACATGTCCAAGAAAGTTTCCGCTTCCCTGTAACCATACATGGCTGTGTTTGAGCTGCCGGGCGAAGGTTTCATTTCTTTTCCGCTGTCAAATATAAGATGGGCCACGTTTTAATTTAGCGGCCTCGGTTTTGGCTTCCTCCGGGGGCGTGCGATTATGCAGCTCTGACCAGCTGAACGACATTCTTGTCTGCTTTTTTTGTGGCTTCTCTAATCCCTGCATGTCTTCAAAATCAGGTTCCTATGACACATGTAGCTATTTTCTATCTTGCTGTGTTGCAAGTTGTTTGGATATGTGGTTTTAATATTCTTTAGATATATATTTTTTTGCATTGCCTAGAAGCCTTTGCAGATGTTGCTTTTTGGGAAATAAGATGGGCCTTTTATACTTGTGACCACCTCTTTGCTTGGGGGTGGGGGAAATAAAGTGTCGGGAAGTTTTGACCGATTAAGATTTCTTTTTTATGGGGGGGTGGACATTCTCTTGCCCCGAGGGTGATTTGTTTTGTTGTACAGTGGTACCTCTACTTACGAACGCCACTTCATATGAAACGACCACCTCTTTGCTTGGGGGTGGGGGAAATAAAGTGTCGGGAAGTTTTGACCGATTAAGATTTCTTTTTTATGGGGGGGTGGACATTCTCTTGCCCCGAGGGTGATTTGTTTTGTTGTACAGTGGTACCTCTACTTACGAACGCCACTTCATATGAAACTTACAAGTTACGAAACGCTTCAACAGGAAAATATTGCCTCTTGTTACGAAAGAAATTTCAAGATACTAAAGGTAAAAATACAGTATTGGCTGCTCGTCACACCTCCGAGTTTCCTGAATGCAACATACGTATAGCTGCTCTGCCATTGGCTATTACCTAGCATCTTCCTGAAATCCCATCGGCGAATAGGGGCCTCTACC